CCCACCAAATCATCCTAATATTGAGATTCAAACTCCTTAAGATGTACTCAATCTATGCTAATAACACTCACTCAAAACAAAGCAAAGATATTTTTTGGGCTACAAATAAATAATTGACTAATATTGGTAGTGTTTGGCTAATGTTAGTAATATTTTATGAATTGATCAATTTTTGTAATAAGCTACTTATTGGCGGAGCTGGTAGTTTCCCAAACTTTTTTGTGACATACCCTAGAAGGAGGAAATCGGCCTTCATAATTTTTTACAATGTTAAAATTAAGAAAGTGCCATTTTTAAATCTCTTATGTGTAAAAATAAATCTCCCATGTATAAAAAAAAGATGAGGTCATAAAACTAAAATCAAATTTATAATGACCCATAAAACTATTTGACCCAAGCAGTTATTGACGTATTTAGCTCCTCCAAAATTCATATTATTGTTTGCATAAATTAGTGAATATCGTTCGATCGAACATAAAAACATATATGTAAAGTAATCATTAGTCATGTTGCGAGGGGCAGAGCTAGGTCAACGGAAGGGGTTCAACCAAACCTCATTCGCCAAAAATTCTATGATATATATAAGGTTTTGATTTTTTTCCATATATATNAAAACTTAAACAAAAAATGAAACTTACAAGAAGTTTTTAAAAATCAAAGCAAATACCGTATATAATTAATATTAGAAAAATTAACCTAAATAGTCTCATACCTAACCACTTAAACTAAAAATAACCGGTAGAGACATATATGCATAAGTCATGTATTATATATGTATAATTGTGTATAATCAATATATAAATTATGTATATGATCAGAAAAAGTAAACAATGAATATTACCGGCTATTTGTGTAAAGAAGTATCCAGGTCCATACCCGTTACCCGTTTGTTCCACAAAAATCCCGTAATTTCTCGTTCGATGCCCTTGATAGTACTAGACTACTACTAGTAGTAGTATATACTGTTGTAACCAACGCAATTCTCAAAGTCAAAACTCCAAATTGGCTATGGCGGAAACCACAACAACAATCTCCAGCGACTCAATTCCGAACCCAGATGCCGGAAAAGATGAAAAACCCAACAATAACCCAATTTTCTCATTGCTCTGCAGTTTCCTTCAGCTCTTCAAACCGCCACTACCCAATAAGAAGAAGATAGAACCCACTGCTACTATTTCAGAGGCCAAACCAACTGAAGTTTCAGGTGAAGAGGAAAAACAGCCTTCTATAGTGAAGTTTCCACGTCAGGAGTTGCCTTCTTTGAAGCTCGAATCAGAAGGGGCTGAACCCGATACTAACCCCGTCGTTTTGTGGCAGGTATTCCACCATTTGGTTTCTGTACAACTTGCAAGAATTTATACAAATTATTTTGTAAACCCTATCTAGTTCTGAGAAACTGTTCTTTGCATATGTGAGCTTTGGATGTTTGACTGATTGTTGGAGTATATCCTTGACTTATTCAATGGTTGGGCTATAAAATGAGTGTAATTAACATTGTAAGAATAATATGCAAAAGCAGGTCTCGATTAAGTGGTATGTAGAATTCGTGTATAGTTAAGGTCAACTATAGTTGTAAAATGTTTCGAACAACAACTTTTTTTTTGGGGTTAAATGAACACTGTTGTAAGGAAGGATGAATAGCACCCAAGGGTGTGGCCTAATGGTCGATGAAGTGGGTGCAAACGTTTGAGACCGGAGTTCAACTCCCAACAAAGACAAAACACACTATGTGACATTTGTCTAAGCCTTGGTGGCAGAGTTACTCGGTATATGTGATGGCAGAGGCAGAAGCTACTAGGTGGAATGCTGGCTTTATTACCACTGTTATAAAAAATAAAAAATAAAAGGTAGGATGAATAATGATGTAAGGTAAATACCCTTATCAAAAAAAAAAATGATGTAAGGTAAATAGTTCATTTTCCCTTTTTTCTTCTTCGTATAGTTGAAAGAGGTTGAAGGGGAGCCTTGGAGCAACGTAAAGTTGTTTCCGTGTGACCTCTAGGTCACGGGTTCGAGCCACGAAAACAACCACTGATGCGCGGGATGCCTTGTGCACTGGGCTGTCCTTTTGTAAGGTTGAAAGAGGCTGATCGGGCATTTGAAGTCAATAGGAGTAGAGTACCATTGCCAACATTACTTATTTTGTGACAATTGACATGGTCTTAGAATAGATATATATTCTTATTAAGTCTTTCAACTGTATATTCAAAATTTGAATCTGAAGGAAGTGGTACTCCCGCACCATCTACCCATAAGGTGCCCATGTATCTGGCTAGCTTGCCCTTACGAGCAGAGTCATTTGTACTGTGGATGGAATTTTTGCCTTCGCCGGGAATTTAGGTGGAGATATTGGCATTCTTTGCTCACTGGAAAATCCTTGTGTAACTGAAACTACAATTTGATTCTTTACCTTGTTCTGGGTATTCCACTCTTTGTGCTTTGAGTCTGTTATTGAATATGTTCAAATGTCTGAGCAGACGAACTTGTGCATTTGTAATACCATGCCTTCTATGGAGCTTTTGCTACTAGCACCTCACCTATTTTGTTTTGGTTTTGAGGATATCATACCAAAGAAAATTTGTGGTAAGATGAACTTTTTAAAAGCTTATGTAGTGGCATTCCATGCTATTTAATCAGGTACGATGATTATTTTCCATGATACTCTACTTTCACTTCTCAGTTATGGAGAATGTTATGAGACACCTCTTCTCACAAAACCAATAGTTTTGATTTGGTACTAGCACTGGCCTATGTAACATTGTTTTTTAAGAGATTGTGTCAAAGAGAAAGCGCTGAGGACAAAATATGAATTCCTATAAATATAATCAGACTAGCCTTCATAATTTGAGACCTGTTAGGAAATATTTATTGTATTAGGAAATATTTATTGTATATTATGTTTACAGTAGTAGCAGTTTATATTCTCCACCGTTAAGCACCTTTTTTTTGTGTGGATAAAGCTCCACAGTTAAGCACCTTTTAAGTGCAGTGTACATTCTCTGGACTAGAAAGAAAAGAGAACATTGTAATCGCTGAGGTCCATAAGTACCTCAACTGAGTAATTTGCTACTTTTCATTGTTTTCATTGAAAAATAAAAAGAAAGGTAGTGCTGATATATGTTATAGAACACTAGCTATATAATAAAGAAAGAGATAAATAAATCTGAACCACTGTGAATAGTAAGACTGATGTGAACCATACATGGGAATAATAGTAAGACTATTGTCAACTGTATGTTATATGTTCTAAAACATTAGCTGTATAAATTTGAAAGAGGTGAATAATCATGTCTTCAACAAGTAAAATGTTGTGCCCCTATACATCTCAAGATTTTGCTTCTTTCCTGAACTGCTGCCTTTTCTTATTCTCCTGCCTGAATTTTCTGCACTATATCTGAACTCAGGTTTATGCTATCGGAGGGTTCTTTATTTTAAGGTGGGCATGGACAAGATGGAATGAACGTCGTGGAAATGGGAGGCCATCCAATGACGAACCTCCTCCCAGTCAAGACTAGACTTTGACACTTGTGTTGCAACAAGTTAGACGGGAGAAAAAGAAGAATGATACTTGTGGAGATAGGTTTATGTGAGCCTTGTAAAGTATCAAAGTCACAGTTGTGGGTTTTACAATATTAACTGTAAAAACCTGAATCAAGCTACATCAATGGTCTGGTCAGCATTTTATGCAACCTGTTTTGGCTATTTTTGATAATTCTTCAATTGCTAAAGTGAGGCCAGGATTTGTATATGAGTAGTTGGAAGCTCGTATATCCATTTAGCTTGATAAGTGTTTCTTATGAAAAAAATAGTGCTCTTGAGCACATGATATTGGGAGAGCGGAAGGATTACTCTTATCATCTTGTCCATGGTAAGTAGCTCAGATTGCAGCTCGAGTAACAAAGTTCGAATATCTTGAAGTTAATTTGTTAATTGCCTTCAAATACATGAGATGTTTTTTTTTTTTTTGAAAAGGTAACATATTTGTATATTCATATAAGGACTTCATTAAAATTGTGAAGTCACCCATAATTACAATGTAAGTGCCCATACAAAACTACACAAAAAGGCTATTTTCTGCCTTGTTCTATTACAATGAGTCTAAGGCATCTAAAATGGATACACTATCCTTCAAAAGTTTTTCTTTACACCAGAAATTAAAAAGAGCTAAACATTTCATCTTTATCTTCTGAATATTGTTGGATTTCTCTTCAAAGCATCTTTGGTTTCTCTCTTCCCAGACTGTCCATCATATACAAGTTGGGACAATTCTCCATCTCTCTTTGTCTCTCGAAAGTGAGTCCTCTTTATTCCAGCTAGCTAGAAAATCAAGGATTCTTTCCGGCATTGCCCATGGAATTCCCCTTAGACCGATAAAAATCCTCCATATCTGTATAGTGAAGCTGCAATGCAAAAAGAGATGACTAATTGTCTCTGCCTTCTCACCACATAAGTAACACTTAGAGCACATCTGGAATCCTCTTCTTGTTAGGTTGTCATGTGTTAGGACTGCTTCTTTAGCTAATAGCCAAGTAAAATAAGCAACCTTGTATGGAACTTTAACTTTCCATATCATCTTCCATGGCCAGCATCCAATCTGATTGTTGGTTAGATTGTATTCCTTGTAGGCAGTCTTTACTGAGTACTTCCCCTGTTCATTCCCTTGCCATATGATAAGATCTTGGCTAGCACTGGTACCACTGAACTGTTCCAAGGTCCTATAGAATTCAATTACTCTATCGATCTCCCAATCATTTAGCATTCTTCTGAAGGTGAGGTCCCACCCCTGAGCTGCCCATACCTCTTCTATAGTTGCTTTTTTTTTTGTTGTTGATTCAAATCATGGATGTCAAGGAATAGCCCCTTCAAGGTTTCTTGTCCTAGCCAATTGTCATACCATAGTGATATTTTGCTACCATCGCCTACTTTGAACTTTGACTTGTTGATCATTTTTGGCCATAAGTTTCTGATTGATCTCCACAAACTGACTCCATATGGATTTCTCATTGGCTTGGATGTCCAGTTCCCTTCCTTTCCATATTTCTCCCTAATGACCTCTGACCACAAGGTTTGTTCTTCTGCTGCAGTTTCCATAGCCACTTCATCATCAAACTTTGGTTCTGCACTCTCAGGTTCTTTATTCCCAATCCCCCTGCCTTTTTGCTGATTGTCAGATCATTCCATCTAACCAGATGGAACTTCTTCTTTTCACTATTACCTTTCCACAAGAATTTCCTTCTTAAAGCATCAATTCTCTTTACTACATAAGCTGGAATTGGGAGCAGAGACATTATATATGTAGGTACAACATCAAGGACTGAATTGATCAAAACTAGTCTACCCCCCATGGATAAGTATTTATTCTTCCAGTTTGCTAGTTTCTTCTCACATTTTTCCAGCACAGTATTTCATATACCTTTAGACTTGCTTTTTGCACCCAAAGACATCCCCAAGTATACAGTAGGAAGTTCCCCTACTCTTTCCCCCAGAATGTTAGCCACACTTTGTATTTCCAGCACCTCATTAACAGGGTAGATGTAGCTTTTCTGCCAGTTAATGTGAATATCAGAGATTGCTTCAAAAAGAATGAAAATCACCCTAAGTACCTTTACTTGTTCTCTTTTAGCTTCACAGAACACTAAGGTATCATCCGCATACTGTAGGTGTGACATTCTCTTGTGACTATCAGCCTTGCTACTCACTTTAAAGCCTTTTATCCAGTCCTTTGTTTGAGCTACTTTTAGCATGTCATTCAATCCTTCCATGGCAATAAAGAACAGAAAAGGGGAGAGAGGATCCTCTTGTCTAAGCCCCCTTTGAGAAGGAAAGAAACCAGCTGGTGCTCCATTGATCAATATTGAGTAACTTACTGTAGAGATGCAGAATTTTAACATCTGATCCACTTTTCTCCAAAGCCCATCCTTCCTAGTATGTCAAGAAGGTATTTCCAATTCAAAAGTCATATGCTTTCTCAATGTCCAGCTTACATAGTATCCCAGGCTCTTTAGTTGATTTCCTTGTGTCAATGCACTCATTAGCTATTAGGACTGCATCCATGATCTGTCTGCCTTTAATGAATGCCATCTGTTGGGAGTCCACCAGCTTGCTGATCACCTTTTTGAGTCTCTCAGTTAGTAACTTGGAGATGATCTTGTATATACTACCTATCAAGCTGATAGGCCTAAAGTCTCTTAACTCTTTGGCTCCCACCTTCTTAGGAATCAAAGCCACAAAAGTGGCATTTATACTCGTTTCAAAGACTCCTTGGCTGTGGAAATTCTGTATTGCTGCTACTACATCTTCCCTGACCACACTCCAACACTTGCTAAAAAAAGCCATTGAAAAACCATCTGGTCCAGGTGCTTTGTCACTTGCACATGCCCTGACACTATCCCAGATTTCCTGTTCTCCAAAGGAGTTCTGCAACATTGAATTGTCCTCTGGTGAAATCATTGGTTGATTCCTGCTTGATTCTGTTGGTCTCCACTCCTCTTCTTCAGTGTATATGTTTTTGTAAAATCTGATTATCTCCCTCTTGATATCTTCCGGGCTCTGGAAGGTCTCTCCCTCTACAATCAATTGGTCTATGTGGTTATATCTTCTGTGGGCATTTGCTGTTCTATGAAAAATATGGTATTCCTATCTCATTCTTTAAGCCATAGGGCTTTGGATCTCTGCCTCCATGCTATTTCCTCACGGTTAGAAATATCTTCAAGTTCCACGGACAATGATGCTTTTGTGAAGATTTCTTCATCAGGCAGGCTTCTTTGCCTTGTACTTCCTCCATTTCTGCTAGTTGATTGAGGATGCTTGTTTTCTGCCTAACTAGATTGCCTTCAATTGTTTTACTCCAATCTTTAAGCTTTGCTTTTAGTGCTTTTAGTTTATAGGCTAGAATGAAGTCTGGTCTTCCTTGACAGGTGAAGGATTTCCACAATTCCTCAATTTTGTCTATGAACCCTTCAGTTTGTAGCCACCAGTTCTCGAACTTAAAGTAAGACTTAGTTGGTTCCCAAGAGCCTGATTGAAGCATTATTGGGGAATGGTCTGAGTTCACTTTCTGCACTAATTGTTGCTTTATGTTACTGAAGTTGTCATTCCAATGAAAATAAGAATCTGTCCAGTCTAGCTGCTGCCACATGCCTATCTCCTTTCCTCCATGTATAATCCCCCATTCTAGTTGAATATCTACCAACTCCATGTTTTCAATGAAATTAGAGAAATTCATCATTGCCATTGAAGTTCTGGAGCAATTTTTCTTTTCTGATGTATACCTCACAGTGTTGAAATCCCCACAAACTACCCAAGGCCCCTCAAAAAGACCTCTTACCCCTGCCAGTTCCCACCAGACTTCCTCCCTCTTATATCTATCATTTGGAGCATACACCCCCGATAGATGCCATGAATACTCCTGAATCTTTCCTGAGAAATTGCAAGTGATAGTGTAGGCTCCAATGTAACCCACCTCTCCCTCCCAAACTCTACCATCCCACATTATTATAATTCCCCCTCTGGTCCCACTAGCCTCTAACTGGGCAAATTTCACCCATCTGCTGTCCCACAACTCCTTCACTAACTCCCTGATATCCCCCTCTAACTTTGATTCTTGAAGGCATGCAATCCCTGCTTTCCAACTAAGTAACAAGCTTTTAATCAGTCTCATTTTCATAACTCTATTCAACCCCCTAACATTCCATGATAAGATGTTGACAATCATTAAAATTAATCAATGTGGATCCCCCTACTTCTAGTCCCATTGCTTTTGAAATTACTGCCAATTTCCAAAGCTTTTATCTCCTTTGCTCCCTTTTTCTTTGATGTCTGTAGAATCTGTGATACTGCTTTCCCTTTGTTGGCCTGCCTTCTGCTGTCTATTTTTGTAAACAGCTCCAGTGCTTCTCGCTCACATCCACTGAAGTTCACCCCAAATTCCTTGCTCAATTTTATAATGTTCTGATGTACCCAAATTGATACTTCGAACTCCAAATCTTCATCTTCCTCTAAGACGTGCTGGTTGAGGGGTTCTGCTTCTTCAATTACCCATTCCATGGGCTTGTCAATTTATGTTGCATGCATTTGCAGATTGTCATAGTTTTCCGAGTTTTCATTCTCATTGTCATTATCCGAAACAATTGTATTGGCTTTCTCCACTAGCTGTCTTTCTTGTTGCCTTCCTTCTTCTCCTTCCTCTTCTTTCTTTTCTTTCTCTTCTTCTTCTTCTTCTTCTCATCGTGGCTGGTATTTTGTTTCTGGGTTTCCTTCGCCAGAGAAGTGCTCTATTTTTTTGTTGAGATAGCCACTATGTAGCGCTGTTATTTCGTCTCTAATAGGATTTGATCTGTGGACTGGGTTGGGCTTGGAAAGTTTCTTTTCTTCAATAATTGTTTGTGCCATAAAGTCTGGGCCCAAAGTGGAATTCTGCACAGACTTTTTAAAAGACTCACATGACTGGTCTTGTGCTAGGTCAGAACAGCCCACGTGCCCCTTTAATATTTTATAATCTCGAGCCCCACCCACTTTTATTAGGTTATCACTCTTTACCCGCTGGTTAAAGTCTCTTTCTTTTACCCACCGGTTGTTCCCATCTTCTTCTCTCCTCTCTGCTTTGGTTCTCACTGGAGCTTCAACCCAGATTTGAATTTCGAACAAGATACCTTCGGCCTCTATTTTCAATGTATTAGGAATCAAGGTTCCATCACCTCTCACTTTAATTCTTGCCCATTTAAGGTGGTTTTTGAGTTCTGTTGCCTCTTCAGTTTCAACCCATCCCCCACAAGCTCCACCCACTTCTTTAAAAACTCTATGGGACCATAGATGTAGTGGAAGCCCTACTATTCTGATCCACATCTGGGTTATCTTCTTGTCTCTTGGAACCGTTCCCACCATTGGATTCCACCATTGAAGCTGGACCTTATCCTTCTTCCGGTACCAGTCTTGGTTTAGAACATTATAAGCGGTGACCATTGAAGGAAATTCAAACAAAAATCTGTTTTGGCCCATTTCATAGATGCTGATTCCGTTGGCTTGTTTCCAGAGCATTTGTGTCCATTTGCGTACTTCCGATAATGTCGTGATTTCAGAGATTTCTTCTGAAAAGGAACCAACCAGACATCTGCCTAGGACCTCACTTTACAGAATTTAAATTTAAAGGAACCAACAAATACATGAGATGGGTTGATGAACTCAAAATGCATTACAGAATTTAAATTGTTACACCGCACTTGTGTGGATTCGATGATACAGGTCGCATAACAATCTCACTTTCCTCATATTATGTTTGATTTACGTTCAGTCGCTCAGCAAGCAGAGCGATATACCAACAAAGATAATGTCCCTAAAGTCTGTTCACAGTTAGCCAGGAAATGAGACTGAGAGATCCATTTTCATTTATGACCTTCGGCTTCAGTCTGGTCACCATATAATAAGGAAAAAGGCCTAGCTACAAGCTCAAAAGAACATTTTCCAACAAAAAGAAGACAAATTGTGTTCCTGCTCAAGGCTATGGAAAAAGGCAAGAAAGAGTGGGGGTTGAAGCTAGGGCGAGACCATCTGACATATCCACGTTTAGGACCCAAAGATAAAGCCTCCAACATAGCAATGTCAAAGTTCCACATGATTTATCTCCTGAACCACAGAATCAACGACAAAATGTTAACAGTTCATCCGATGTTGCGACCTGTACACTTGTCGTCCACTATACACTCCCAATCAAAAGAAAGATGAGTAAATAAAAAACAAATCCAGTTACTTTAAATTAGTAAACAGGAACATGTGCAGAAAATTCAACGGGTGGGCAGCCCCAGTATAAAATAGCGAACAGTTTAAGCAGAAATGCACCAGACCACACACGTAGAAGTCCGCTGGAACCATTTTATTCAGAACTCATCATTATTTGTCCTTATTTACAAGAATGCAGAAAGAATCCCTACAGAAACTTAGAAAGAGGAATGCCTAAGTTGTAATGTACACTCGAATGAGGAAATTGCAGTGACCAAAATCCTATAATATCAGTCCTAACTCCTAAGCATACAATATCAGTTCTAATCATCTTCACGTGAGATCCTCCGCAATGTCAAAACTATCAGATGGTCCACATGAAAACTCTATCAGTTCCTATGTACAGTTCTGAGACCATCTCATCTAACAGCCACCAGGTTTAAGCTGTGCCTGTTGCTGCTTGTCTAATTTGTTTGTCGTAATTTTTGCCAAGATACAATTGAACCTACTGCCTCCATTCAATTTCTGACTGTACATAGATATCTGACCAGATAAATGAAGTTTGACGCAAGAAACATAGGCTTGGTTCAACCGTCTTTTTAAGTTCCGAAATAATTATCGTATATCGGAAGGCGATCAAATGCATCAAAGTTGGCCTTCAAACCAACAAATTGGCTCCGAAACTTGGCACAACCAGGATTTGGCCACCTGCACCCACTGTCTCTACTGTGCATAGGGCACAACGATTCACAAACTTGGATGAGAGGATTGTCGGAAACATCATCTTGCATCACTGTAACAGGTTCAGAGAGGTCTGATTTCTCACTGCCATGTACTGAACCATTCGAATTTGTTGTAGAAACTGAGCAGACAGAACGCTGAGGAATTTCTGTTGGGTTGCTTTCAATGCATACATTACAGTCTCCGTCTGGTGAAAAGTAGACATTAAAACCCAAAGATTGTACTGCACGCTTTATAGTAGCAGTTTCTTTGCTGGCTCTTTTTACCGCATCCCTGGCAGAGGTGCTCACAAGTTTCTCATTTCTCAATTCTGTAACTAAGGACTCCACTGTGACACTTATTTCGTTCAGTCTTGTTTCTGCTGCTTCTTTTGCCTGTGTAAAAGTTGTTTTTAGACAGTTAATAAAGGAGTGATGAATCAGAAATCAATGTATGCACCAAGTTCTCGCTTGTATTGACAAAATCAAGATGCAGCAGTTAGGCGACATCGACAGGCAACACTAAAAAGAAGCTAGAAAACTATGCTTGTCAATTATTTGTAGGTTGGAAGTAACTTAGCCTAGATTTTGTTGCGAAGTTCATTCTCATAACTAATCTCATGAAACTCTACAAGCCAAATTTGATACAACCATCGTAGTTTGTCAGTCAACACTAAAATGGCATATCTGGGTTACGATGAACTTTGCAGTTTCAAGCTGGAAACCTTTTCTTTTCCTTTTCGGAGAGGGCGAGGAGAAAGGAGTCTGCAGAGAAAAAAAGAGAGTTTACCCTTTGCAGCTCAGAGAATTTTCTCGTCAACTTCCTGCATTCTGCCTCAACTTCTCCACCTTGTGCCTCTGATGGGCAAGCCCAACGAAGGTGAAACTGAGGCCAAACAGTTGGAGCTAAAGCTGCTGCTGGTGGTAGTAGCGGACCATCATGTTTCAACGGGTCATAGAACAGGTTGTAATGCGCATGAGAGCTTCCTTCCGATGCCCGTACTTCAGCTAAATACATCCACAGGCATCCACAAGCATCAGAAATACCAGCTTGCTCTCTTTCCTTCTCGCTGAAATTTGTAGAAGTCAGAAGAAGTGAACTAAAAATAGGAAATGACATTAAAAAAAAAATCCTTAGGAAATGACATTAAAAAAAAATCCTTTCTATCCCATGATGGAGTTCAAAACAACCTAAAGCCAAAAAACCACTGAGGNAAATTACCACTCCCTTTCATGTTGAACTAGCAATCTAACATCTAATATGGTGTAATCAAACATGGCAAGGAGGAAAAAAAAAGACAAAAAATTAAATTCAATTACAAGAACTACACATCAATCCTGAACTAGTTGGGTCATATTATCCTGATCATCCATGTCGCTCTATTTAGACCTATCTTAATACAATATTTTAAAATTTTAAGTTCTCTAGCATTAGAAGTTATGTACCTAGATCTCTATATTTTCTATTGGCATACAAATCTCTAACCAGAACAAAAAACTCCTAGCAAACATTGGACCTAAAATAGACGTACTAACATGACTAAAGCTTAATCTATAGTAATTGGTATAGCCTATAAGGACCCTTTTTTCACTGTCTTTTTGTTTCACTATTTCTGCATGGATTTCAATAGATGGTACGTCTCTTGAGACGATTTTCTTTCATGTGATTGTTGGCCTACTTGATCATTTTTTAACACCTTCAATCACCACGGTTTCACACCTATGGACTGATCTGGAGGTCCACGTAGGACATGGCCAAACCATCTCAAGCAACCTTCTCTCATTTCTTTTTGTGGCCGAGTTGCACCTTCTATTGAATGTGATAATGTCTAATCTTATCTCATCTTATACCATCTTAACACTTGTATTTCTGGATACTCATCTTGTGGATATGTTGGAACTTAGGGCTTAACATTCACTCCTATCTAACATTGCCGGTTGTACAACCATCCTACTGAACCATTTTACTTCATTGTTCTTCCCAATGCCTCTCTCCAGGTGGCACCCAAAGAGGGTTAGTTTTCCAGACATACCTCTTACCTGAAAGAGTGTTCTTCATGTAAGACACTATATAAACCAGACATCTTCTCTTCTATATGACTTCTCCACTTGAACAGAAGACAAAAAGAAGAGAACATAAATTTTAGAAAGAAAATGCAATCCCAAAAGACAAACCAAGTAGAAACAGAGGGAGAGTCATGACAAGCCAATAGGGAGCATGCACCTCCCAAGAAATCTAATGTTCTCGTTCAGGTATCATGACAGATGCCTCAGAACAAACACTCTTCTTCTTCAGGTGCATTTACTATAAATACGATTCCCTTCTACCAGACGTGGAACTCATATCAATGCATCAGACAAGCACCTCAACTTCTAATAGAATGCATCTTCTTCGGGTTCCGCAAACAAATGCATGTGTACCAAAATGAAAGTGAAAAACAAAATACTACCAAAACGAGATTACCTGTTGCACAAAAAGTTTCCGAAACGGCAAGAAAGCATGCAATCCAGAAGATCCACCAGGAAAGCCTGTATTGTTGGAATTGAAAGATAGGAAGCTTTATTTTCTCCAAGGACGTAAATTATCAGTTTATTGGAATATATATATTTATACTCTTATTTGACTCTCATGTCTTTTAGCAACACGTACCGAAGAGAACTCGAAGGCAAAAGGGTACATCCTTAACAACTGTGAAACACAATCAACCCACTGCATAGGGCATCCAAATATAACAAGTTAGAGCTAAAAGATTAACGGAACCAAAAAGAAGGGGTAAAAGATAAAGAAGCAGAGAGAGAGAGAGAGAGAGAGAGAGAGAGAGAGAGAGAGGATATTTTTGTCAAACACAATAAAATTAATATAAAAAGATCAAATAGATTGTATGCGCGTAAATCTCCAAACAAAAGATAGAACTCGGAACCGCATGCGGAAGACGTACCTGCAAGAAAATGGGGGAATTTTGGTTCTGTGCATGAGATGTATTTTGAGCTTGAGATGAGGATGACCCTGATACTTGCCGCATGGGTGATGAAGGTAAACTCCCAGTCGAAGCCTGACGAGATAATTCAAACGGCATGTTGCCACTTCCAGATATAGTGGGCATTCCCAGACGATCTGAAAATGGATGACCAAATGCAAGCCAATCTTTCTCTACAAGTGCCTGGATGATTCGAACAACTTAGACAGCTGTCCATATATAACCAAGGGGTATGGGATGCCCCACTTAAATGTTAAATCCTTCTAGCATTGTCACGAGTAAAATGGCATACTGACGCATTAACACAGACCTTAATGATCTCATGTGGATGAAGTATTTTACACTCCAAGAAGAAGAAAAAACAAGGCTACAAATGTTAAATACCAGGTAATATGAGCAGATAGATCCAAACAAGTCCCAGTACCTGAAATCCTTTAATTGTACGATAGTATGGGTCAAGTAGCAAGCTGGCAAGTGAGACCAATTGCGTAGTTCGATCCCATCCATCGCTGCAGAATGAAATTCCATTTTTAAAAAGAATAAAAAAAACTAGAGGTACTCTTTACTGATAGTCTCCGATGAAGATATATATGCAAAATCAATTTAAAAACATATGAGCTTCATACAACAGATCATCAGTTGGATAAATAAATATGAGCTAGGAAAGGTTTTTGGTTATTTGTAAACAAGTACCATTGTCGTGTGTACATTTGCCATTCGGATAAAAAGGAAACACACAAATATTTAAAAGTCATTGTGAGAATGTACGGGAGAAAAATCTATTTTATTAACAATGATACAGTGAGCCCTATAACTATACAGAACAGTCATAAAATGTGCTGAAAGCTATGGCCAAAATAGTTGCACAGTGCAATACTTGTTGAACCACTTGTCAGTTGAAGGAGTCGAGGCAAACCATTTGCAGGTTCAACTGACAATTAGTTTTAATTGTCATCACTCCTCATGTTTTGACAAAATAAATTTATTAGATCGACCTGTTGAATGCTATAGGTAATTTCCAATATTTTGAGAAAAACAGATAGAATTAGTACTGTTAAAAAGGTAAAAATTACGGAACATCCACTTCAGTGGTTTTAGCAATAACACCAGGTATATCAGCCAACAAGTTATGCATTCTTCTAATATCTTTTTCTTTTTTTTGATAGGTAAGCATTCTTCTAATATCTTTGCAAACCAATTAACCAGAAGCAACCTGATTTTCAAGTCTTCGATTATGATCAAATCCTTCGACGTCCATGGCTTGCATGGCCTTTTCTTCTACTGCTATAAGTTATATCTACTGTTAAATAGTTTGTGCATCTGAAAGAGTGGAGCTTCCTAAATATATGTCTGTAAATAATTGTGTGAGAGAGAATGCACGGGAGAAAAATCTATAATTTTAACAATGATACAATAAGCCCTATATATAATACATATTCTACTCCTACTACATATGGGACTAGGACATATTCTATTCCTACAACATATGGGACTAGGACTATTTACACATAACTATCCAACATTCCCCCTCCAGCCGGTGAATACAAATCATATGTACCGAGCTTGTTACATATGTAACTAATATAAGGACCCGTGAGGGATTTGGTGAAAATATCTGCAAGCTGATCATTCGACATAAGACTCCCCCTGAGCAACAAAACCAGGTGGTTGCTGATAAACAAAAGTTGGCCGAACAGTTGCCGGCAAAATTTGAAAATAGTGAGACTAAGCCGAATTCCACTACAAAATAGGTTCTAAAACACCACCAGAATACACAAACTTTTTCTAGAATTACTGTTCACGCCGGAAATCACTGTTCACGCCGGAAAAAATAAAAGTGTCAGAATTTGATGTAATTTATATGGGTAGGCTCGGAATCACTGGACGAGTAAGTTGTCCTTAAGAAGTTTTGTCAAAATATGGCTGGAATGGCTCACACATGCCGGAAAAGTTACTGTAGCTCGCCGGAACCCTAGTTCTGGCGGCGCGTGGAGGTGCGTGACTTTCTGCCGGAGCGATTGACTGGGGTTTTGTCGTCTTACTTTTCCGAACAAGACGGTAGTGTTGGTTTTTGCACAACACTTACCAATGAGGAGATAACGCAAATCAATCTGAGTCGTCAACCGGAAAGACGCACGGTGACTGACTTTTCTGTTCCGATGGGATTGGAATTTTTGGGGTTTGGTCGCACAAGGGTTTTAGATCTGATGGTGGTACTGGTATATGCACAGTACCACTGTAGCAGTGATGAACCCTGGGAACAACACGAAATTGCCGGAAAATTGCACGACGGTGAGATCTTTCTTCCCGGATGTCGCTGGAATGACGCACAACGATAATTTTCTCACTGAAGCTCTGATACCACGTGAGAATGCACGGGAGAAAAATCTATATTTTTAACAATGATACAATGAGCCCTATATATAATACATATTCTACTCCTACTACATATGGGACTAAGACATATTCTACTCCTACTGCATATGGGACCAGGACATATTCTACTCCTACAACATATGAGACTAGGACTATTTACACATAACTATCTAATAGTGTGATATGGTGGCAGAAGTAAAAGGTATCATGTGTATTTATTATCTGTTCTCTATTACAAATAGAATGAACTTTTCAACCTTCACTAGATAAAGATACTTTAACCCTTGGTAGGTAGAGTTACCCGATATATGAGCTGGTGGAGATAGCAGGTACCCGGCGAAAAAATCGAGGCGCACACAAATCGGTCCAGTCACCACCTTTTTTTTTCAAAAAAAAAAGAAAGAACATAAAGAAATTTCAACCTTATAAAATTTATCAAGAGCTCTTAATTTATGTAGGAGGCGGAGACAAACAGAAAATAGGATAATAGTTTTTTCTAGGAGGGGAATGAGTGAGTGGCCACATCAATTCTTTTTGGCATAAAGATCAATACACCCAAGATGCTCCACTTCCAACTAGTTGGAGGAAGGAATACATACTTATTCATTGTTGCTCTAAAGAATTTCAAGCAAAATGTATTAAACCCGGACAGTCACTAGTTTTGATCAAAATTGATTTTGCCATTTTTTAGTAAATCTGATACGTAAAAAATATTTTTCAACAAGTAACATGCAAACTAGAACACTCAACTGTAGTAAATTGACATGGTATGGATAAAACTTCTGAGAGTATCCAAGCTAAATTAGCGCATTTAAGTGAAGAATGACTTCCATGAAAGTCTCATCCAGTGTTGTCAAAGGCGCGCTTAAGCCTTGTAGCGAGGCGCAAAATATGTTGAGCGCTTTGCCTCGCTTAGCGGGCGCTTCAATATCGTCATCAAGGCTCTAAGGTATACTTTTCCTTGATAATGAGTGTAATCCTGAGGATGCAACATTAATAATTGATATTTCACTTTATCGCATTTTTTCCAATTTATTTGTCCATATGTTTGTTATTCATACTTGTAATTATTAGTCTTGGACTACACATACATATTTGTATTTTTTCTCCTTTGTGCCTTTCTTCATTAAAGCCCACGTGCCTTAAAAGCTCTTTTGCGCTTTTCGCCTTTGATAACACTACTCTCAGCGTAATCTTTAATGGCATACACATTTGTTTCAGTTCCAGAGGATAATGACAAGTCAAACTTTTCTGAATGTTAGTTTATAGATATGTATAGTGTAGTCTTGTCCCACATTGGAAGAGGAGTAATATCTCCTTGTAGTGTATAGCTATAAATAGGGACCTCTTGTATTGTATTTATCATCCAATATCAATAACATATTTTCTCCCGTGCCTTTTCACACTGAAGATGCTAGATAACAACATTTTCTCTTGTTTAACACAAAACTAACGTTTTTAAAAACAGATACAGTTAGCTCTAATGTGCTATAAGACCATTGGATTGCAGCTACGTACTCCCCACTATTCTCTCTGCTTGGGCTAGTTATGGAGAGGTCTTATGGAAAACAAATGCAGAAAGTAATCACATAGAAAATAAGACTCAGAACTATTTCATTCACCAAATAAAAATGACTGTTGTTGACCTAGATTTTCTCCCTTGCTCATTCAACAAGAAATTTCATTACGTCACAACTCTGTCTTTCTCTCGTTCTACACTCCAGTTGCTCAACAAATTCCAAGGTAATTTGCTGAAAGGTGCCTAAGAACCTGTACATAAAACAAGAACTACTAGGCCTTTATGCCAAAGCAAAGTTGGGGTTGGCTTCTCTATATTACTGGCATATAAATCTCCAATAGGACTAAAGACTCGTGAAAAACATAAGTCCTAAAAGCAAACATACTAACGTAACTAAAACATAGTCCCAACTAATAGGTACATAATGATAAAATATCCAAGGAGGAATCAACAGAAACACAAATACAAGGGACTCAAGCATTTAACAAAGTTCTCCACTTAGGCATTTATAGACTTATTTATAAGCATAAGAATGGTCCAGAAGACAAGAAACCTGCAATGAACAAGAACTGAAGCTGATTCTAGTGCAACACGTGCAGCAATCCAAGCAGAACCAGCCAGGACAGTTTGAACATGTATTAACCACCCAGTGTCGCCCAGTGTAGAAACTGAAGCAGACATACTGCTGAGATTGCCTCCGCCCCAACTCCATCCACCATNCCACTAATACTGAGATCATAGATCATTAGAAGAGAAGAGAAACAGGGAAAATAGTACATCTTGCAAGCATCTAAACTCAAAACTTATAACGGTTCAAGGACATTGCCAACAATACTTTTCTTTACTTGGAGATTCCCCTCCCCACCCAACCAGGAAAAAATCCCATTCTTGATTTCAACTCCTTTATATACATTGAATGTGTATACAGCACAGACTGCAAGTTAAAAAACAAAAAAGGAAAAGACAGGAAGGACAGTAAATAGAGGAGTCCACTGTGACTTGACCATGATTACTGTCAGAGTTCAGATTGGCTTCAAAATATGTCTCAAATCTTTTTGAAATTTGTTACACTTGAACTTATCAGACACAAAGACTAAAATGATTCAAAATGCTTGGATGCACCCATAGCCTTGGTGTTGCAATAACTAGTCACAAGCAGGTAACTTGGATTCACTTTCAACAGAAATTCTCTTAGGTCCTGCCACCTTAATTCAAATCTCTGTTTGGTTTGGTGCCCCTAGTGCATTGATTGGTCAAGACGTTCTAAATAGTGGACATTTTGCATGAAGGAATATTTTTCAGAAAGATTAATGGCATACCAGAAAAGATGACATTCCATCTGATGAAGTAGTACCATGAGTATCTAAATAGTCTCTAAGCCGACCAAGACTCTCCCTCATTGCATGTATATTATCGATGCCAAAGAAAACAATCTGACCAGACATGTAAATCAAGCAACATCAGTCCACGAAATAATTAGGGAAAGATATACTCCCTCCTTCTCATTTTATATGGAGGTGTTTGACTTTATATGAAGTTTCAGAAAGAAAGATTGATTTTTCGGCACATACCAAGAGTACCCTTAGAACTTGTGGTCTTAAACATGCCATGATATTTTTACGGCTATAAGAGCATGTCATTAAGGGCAAAATTTACAGGTTTAAAGTTACAGAGTTCCAAACATAGAAAGTGTCATTCTTTTTGGAACATAATAAAAAGAAAGAGTGCCATTTAAAACAGAGTGGAGGGAGTATCATGAAGGAAAGAGCAGCAAAAGAGACAGCTCAAAAATTAAACAGACCTCAGACTGAAAATAGTTTGCAGATGACTCTGATCCACCTCCCATTGCCCCATTTGCTAAAGCATTTTTCCTGGGCCTTGCATCAGCAATATATAGCTTCCTGAGAAGACAAATAAAGAGCATATGCAATTAATAAGAGATAGTCAGCTGTGCCATGAAACTATGCAACTATCTAAAAGGAGTGATTCATCAAAAAGGAACTATCTAAAAGGAGTTAAGTAACAACAATAAAAGAAACAAGACAGAAGTATTTTTATGACCAGATCAAGGAAGGAATTGAAAGGGATCCTTTAACTAGCCACATAGCAAGAAACTTACTCATAAGGCATAACAACAAGAAATTTAATCAAGAAGACATCTTAGAGATTAGGTGAAATAAAAGGGAAGTAGTAAAAGGAACACCTTCGTTTCTCTCCAGCAATTTGAGTACACAGTGCAGCAACTAGATTCTCATCTGCATTGCTGCAGAAAAGCACAAGATTTTCTTTTAAAAATAACTCGAGGAAACACAAACTACTATAAATTTTTAACAGCCAACTTATTTTTCACGACAATAAATTAATACAAATATTCATAAAAGAAAAAGGATCACATAATTTGGAATAACCTTCTCATATTCATCATGAGGCCAACTAGCGGTTGAGAAGAACGTGCAAGAACAGCCCCAGTTCCTAACAGATGCAAAACATAAGCACTGGCCTAAGAAGATCAAAGCAAATGAGTTCAAACAGCTAAATTTTAGGCCCACCTCTGTCACACCATGTTATGGCTGGCAGCCTACACCGTGCACGGAATGTACAAGCCTGCAGCACTTTGTCATCACTATGTATGAAAAGTCATTAGGTAAATGCCAAAATAATCATCATTTAACCCCGAAAAAATGGCAGAACAAAAAACATCACCTCACCTTATGGACTTTGGCAAGAGTAAAGCAAATGGATAAGTTGGAGACATTGTGTAATTAGAGTTAACACTGCTTATTCTCCAATACTCATTTGAGAGTGTGAATGACCCGTCTTCAATAGCACGGATAGAAGCTTGACAGAACCCCATTCCAAGAAGTCGGCAGTACTCATTCAACAGCCTTACTTTGGGATTCGTGTTACTAAACCTGGAATGGCCACCAGCAAATGCATAGAGATCCCATAACCTTGCAGGCCTTGCACACCGTAATAATGCATCATAGACAGCACGCCTCTGGGAAACCATAAGACGAGCAATTATAGCTTGTAAGTAAAACGTGCAAACTTGTTTTAGCAAAGGTTAGGAAAGTGTTGTCAACTAAACAGTCTGGGTCACTTTGTTAATGAATACATGCTATTATCTATTCCAAAAATAGAAGTATTCAGATTAGTCCAGTTTCTACTCCCATAATAGTCTTAGACTGCATCAAGGCATTGAAATCCGAAATCCATATAGCGGTGTTAACATCGACTAGAGACAACATAAACGAGTGTGCTCTTCCACTAATACCCATCCACCCTACATAAATTTCATCCTCTGGAAGCTGATCAATATGCAGTTATCACTGAAAAGTTAACAAAGTAACTCAATGTTGCTATGGAACATGTGAAACAAGAGAAAGCTTTTAATGAATATTGGTTATGAACATACGTAGGATTCATTATATATGAGTTTTGACTACACGAAACAAGAGAAGTTCCTAACTAGGAAAATCACCGATATTTTGAGAAGTTCCCCAAAAGAAAAGTTCATTAATTAAAAAAATTCTATATCTCCTTTTTTTATGAAGAAAGAATTCTAATTAGGAATTATACTATACATTTAACCTAGAGTATACGATACAATTCTGATAAACACCCTCAAACTAGAGCATATACATCTGCACTGCAAGATAACCAAATGTGTACTTGATTCTTGGACTTCAGAGAGAATTTGACAAATAGACTGTGAAAAGGGGGACTGAAAGCATAAAAAACAGCTTCTGATTCCCAGCAAACACATGCATTGTTATTTGATGTTGAGGCGTAGTTGATTGACTTGATTCTGCATGCTAGTGTGACATATTAACTGGACGATCTGGTAATGAATTGATAACTGGACAAGTTGACTAACTCGACATGTTGGCTGACATGGAATACTTGCAAGACTAATGTAAACTATAGAATTGACATATCTGCTAACGTGGATGCTGACTTCACCAGCCACCTGATGTAGACCAATGACACAGCAGGGTGATGTTGTGGCAATGATTAGTGGACTGTGCAACTTGTATTCCTAACTTGATTGGTCAGCTTACATGGACTTCTGAGTTCTGATAAGACAAGCTGTTAACTTGACATGTCAGCTGACGTGGATGTTCATGTAATGGTTAAAGTAAAGTAATAATATGAAACTCTATTGTTAATGTAACAGCACCGACACAACAGGGGACAGGGATGGTGTGCTGACATGGCTGATAGAAACTTGGCACCTTGGTTGTGTAGACATATATGCCGCTGGAACTAAAGAGTAAAGACTTCAAGGTGCACAGGCAAAGGATCTCGGAAAAGGTTTCCTCATCGTGTGTTTTGAGACAAAAACCTGATGTCAAAATCGGGTGGAATGAGGAAGAACAACAAAGATATAAGGCCTATGAGTTTTTTATATTCTCTAGATTGGAGATCACTGAGGAAAGAATCAAGGTAAAGCGAATGATTGTGACGACAATGTAATGATATAGATGATCACGTAAAAGGATAAAACATATGCAAGGAACAGCAGAATGTGGCAAGAATTTATTTTTGACAACTCAGCGACTAACAGGTCGCTAAATCAGTACCTCTAAAATTTAGACAGCTCAGGTACTGTTGAAACGACAACAAAGTAGAGAAAAAACCACTTATTCAATTGGTCACAAATGACATACAAGACGATTCACTGTGTGGGAGTTTAGACCATCACGAAAAGTTTTTGTTCCTAAATGAGGAAAGTTACTGGTAATTCGTGAAGCTTCTAATTATTGTTATTCTATTTTCTTTTTTTGAATAACCAAAAAATCCCCGAGACGGATGGTGCACGGTTGAACTCGGTGGATGATGGTCCCGCTTCTCTACCCATCCCATGACATGAGTCTAATCCACACATCACTTGAGCTCTTATCACAAGACCAAAGCCCTAGGGCAATTGTTATTCTAATTATGATATACGTTAAAACTGTACACTACAAGTTAATCTACAGATGCACAAAGAATCTAGATATTTATAACCATTGCAATCTTTAACTCATTATATTTTCAGTGTCTCTAACTCTCTATTCTAACCTGAATTGCTCAGGGCATTGTACTTGGTGAAAAACACGTCAGTTATCAGTAATGGGTCCACAAAAGTTATTCAAAAGGACAAAACTCAAACCACCCAGTTGAAGAAGAGAAACTGGGAAATTCTCATGCTATTACTGAAAACTCAGTCATCAACAAGAGAAATTAAAAGTTCATTGCAATCTCAGCAAGTTAGAGCCACATAAAGCAGCTGGAATTTCATGGACCCCCTCCCCCACAAAGAGAAGATAACAAAGTAAATATACGAATTAATGAACAAACAAATCATATTGAGCCCAAAGCATCAACAGTTGAAAAAAGATATAAAATCAGAACATGAGTTCTGAGCTGACCTGCTTGGTTCGAGGACGAAAACCAAAGACAATGATTCTCATATCTTTGCCTGGAAAAAAATGTTAAGTTAATTTACCATTTTCAGAATATTGTATAATAACAAATACTACAAGGATGAAGACAGTGCTTTCATCTAATGGCATACCAATGATCTGAAGCAACCGCTGTGAACCAGTCTTTTCAGGCTGACGCTGACCTGATGGAAGCTTCATAACCTGGTTAGCAGGAAAGGAAAGAATTGTAGCCAGAATTGACAAATACAGGATAAGGTTTACACAGTACTGATTCTTAGATGCTCAAAAATAAAGAAAATTGCCAAAGGCAGTTGACTCCTGTACTTGGGTACGGGATGTTGTGATGGCTGATGAAGCTTCTCACTTACTGGAAAAGGTAGTATTGAAGAAGCAACAGAATAGCTAAATGCACACCATTGTAAAGATTATAATGTGAAGCAGATAAAAAAGTATGTGCTTTCCTGGGTACTGACTAGGGGTGACAAACGGGTGGGGCGCGTCGGATATGGGCGGGTCGAAAACAGATAATACAAATATGGATAAAATATCCGACCCGACCCATATTACGGATAGAAAATAGGTTAACCGGCGGATAATATGGATTATTCATGGCTTCTTGAATATGATCACTTTTGGGAGAATTCCTAGTCTCCCAAACTTGAAGAACCCCCAATTTGGGTCTTTGCAAATGTAAAAGTTAAACCCATTGGTTATCCATTGAATATCCACTTTTTTTGGGAGGGGTTTAAAAAAAAAGAAAAAAAAAATCCACTTTTTAAGTGGATAATATGGATCTTATCCATATTTGACCCAATTTTAAAAAGTTAATTACCCAACCCATTTTTAGTGGATATATGGATGGTTAGCTGTTTTTATCCATTTTGCCACCACTAGTACCGACTAAGACTAAGAAATAAAGTGCACCTATTTAGCTATAAAATATTCAGCATCCTTCCAATATATTCCATTAAAACTGATTATATTCAAATCAGCTGGTGATATTCGGAAAACAAGTGTTTGAAAATTGAAGTACTTGACAAAAGAAGGTGCACCTTTGCATCAAAGATATATCACCACACTTTGCAACAAAAGGCAGACGCATCCAATGGAACAACATGAGGCTCAACCAACCAATTCTTATTGGACAGGAAGGATGGCAAGCACTATTTAGACAAGTGAGAACACGAAAAGACATGAAAAATGCTAACCAGAGCAACGCATGAACAAAAGAGAAGAGAATGTAGATGATATATGATGCTCCAAGACATCACTGGCCAAGAGAAAAAGAGCCATTATTCTGGGATCAATATTGCCCTGGCCATTGGATGCTACGACCAAAAATTAATAGCCTAGTACTCTTGAGCGAGCTTAATTTCCAATACTACATGTAAAAAAATGTAACACCCCGACCCTCGAGCATATAGTGCTAGTGAATTTGAGCATGTTATAACGAAGTTGTGCATAAAAAATCATGCTTTGATATGATACGAGTTAATGAAATGACTGGAGAAAGAAAAAAAGAGGAAGAGAAGAAGAACTAAGACCAAACCAGCCACTCGGGCCGTAGTGCAATTATAGCGCCGCAGTGGAGAATCAAAGGAATGAGAAAAGGGCTAAGGACCATCACGGTCATAAGGGTGCAATCGCCCTAAGAGGAATCAGTGACCGTTGTGGTACAGAATCATAAAGATCAGTTTTGAAGAGAATCAGTCGCGGCGGTCAAGATGGACTTCGCACAATTCACAAAATTTTAAGGGCTTTTGGCTCTTTTCGCTCTGCTTTGCACTGTGAGTGTAAAAGGTGAACCTTAATTTGTTTTAGGTCATTGAAAAACGAGATCTTTGACTCATCAACAGCATTAATGGTGGGACTAAAGGAACCCAACACCAAATTAAGATTTTTCTTACAAACTAAGATAAGTTCTAGCCCTAATTCACGGTATAGCTCGAGATTCATTATGGTGGACCATAAGTATTTCTATCTTTATCCTAAGTAGGGTTTGACATGAAACAAGCATTGGGGAATGGGGATTTGAGTTCTACCAAGGTTACAAGATATCACATGAGTTCTAATGGTACTGCATACCCTTATCTATACCTTTTTTATGTATCTTCTCCTACAACTGTTGGAGAATACCAGCTCTTCTGCCTTTCGTTCTTCCTGCTCCAGCTCCTATGCCGCTTTCAAATCTATTCTGTAATACCTAGATCAAATCCTCCAGTCAATTGATGTTTCTCTTCATGGTGACTTGTTGCATACTTAGACAACATTCCCTGCTTCAGTCGAGCACTACCACAAACTTGATCTCCCTATTACTCTTCTAAAAGGTACTTGGACAACTGCAGCACTTCTGTCTTCCGCTCTTCCTGCTCCAGCTCCTACTCCGCTTCAAGTCCATTCCATATTACCTCGACCAAATCCTCGTAATTCAATTGATGTTTCTGTTCATGATACAGGTCCACAAAGTCTACCTAATGACTCATTGCCTACTTATACAATATCCCTGCTTCCATCAAGCACTCATCGCACGAACTTGATCTCTCTATTACTCTTTGAGAAGGTACTCGGCCTACTCGCAACCATTATGGCATTATCCTGTATAGAATTTCTTAAGTTATCACAATTTACCACCCAACATCATGTCTTTGTTACAGATTTATCCATTGTCAAAATATCTAAAATTGTTGCAGAAGCAATGGCTCATCCTGGTTGGTATCAAGCTATGATTAAGGAAATGACCGATCTACTTGGGAGATAATTTATTTGCCACAAGGCAACACAGCAATTAGATATCACTGAAAGATACTGTCAAGGTTAATGCTGAAGGTTGATCGTCTGACATCTAGATTGGTGGCCAGGAGATATATACAGATTTATGATCTTGACTATAATGATAATAAAAAAAAAATTGGTGGCCAAGATTGCTTTTATCTGCTTATTTATCTCCATGGCAGTCATGTTCCATTAGCCACTTTATCAGTTGATACCAAGAATATATTTGTGTGATCTAGCTGAAAAAGTTTACATGGAACAACAGCCAGAGTTTACCGCACAGGGGGGCCTGAATTAGTATGTAGATTGCACCGAGCTCTTTATGGTCTCAAGCAATCACCACGGATAGGGTTGGTTGTTTTAGCACTGCTGTCCAACAATTTGACATGCTTCTAAGGGAAGCTAATCACCCAATGTTTTATAATTATTCTCATAATGGCAAATGCATGTTCTTGAATGTTTATGTTGATGACATTGTCATAAGATGAATGAAGACATTATTCATAATTAAGTAGCATCTAATTAATCACTTTTAGTCTCAAGACCTAGGTAAATAAAGTACTTAGAGGCATTGAGGTGAGAGTCATTGAGGTGTCCAAATCTAGGGGTGAAAATTTCATTACACTGAGGAAGTATGCTTTGGACACATTGAAGGAAGTTGGCATGATGAATTGCAATCCATTGATAACTCCTATGGATCCGATTGTTTAGATTGTTCCTGTATGGGGGAGCCATTGGGGTACAGGTACAAGGTAACTTTGACGACTAAGGCTTAGCCAGATGGGAAGAAATCACATATGATTTTTAAGTGGGAGGTAGCAAGTACCTGGTGGATTAATCGAGGTGCACGGAAGTTGACCCGAACACCACCGTTATCCCAAGAGAAAGAAAGTGATACGATAATCAAAAAAACAAAAATAAAGCGATATAATATAACTGTTGCATATCTGAATTATAAGATAAAGAAAAGCAAACCTACAATTTTCTGGACCTTCTCAATGGTCGCCAATGGTACTGTGCCAAGTGCAATGATATCTCTAGACCCTTCACTCTAGATAATACACAGAAGCAAACAACATCCTATTCAGTACAAACTAGCAGAAAAACAGAACAAGATGAAAAAGGTTGTGATAATAAGTATCTCATGTACTTCATGTATGTAACAAGCAT